GGACATTAATGTTTAGTTGAGGCCTTTGGTGGATGAGTTGAAAATGTTGTGGGTTGAAGGAGTCCAAATGAGAGATGCATCAACCAACATTGTATTCAATATGCGTGCGATGTTGTTATGGACTATCAATGATTTCCCAACACGTAGCAGTCTGTCTGGATGGAGTGGTCAAGGTTATTTAGCATGCCCTACTTGTAACGAAGACACATCTTCCATTTATGTGACCAACAAGATGTCTTATGTTGGTCACAGACGATTCTTGAATATAAACCATAGTTGGAGGGAGAGTCTATTGTTTGATGGTTAACCTGAGACAAGACCGCGTCGTAGACGATTCAGTAATGCAACTATATTAAAGCAAGTAAATTTTCTCTCTGATCGAATTCCAGGGAAACATCCTGATTATGGGGGCAAAAAAAGAAAGCACGACGATGAAAGAAAAAAGAGAGAGTTAAATTGGACGAAACGAAGTATCTTCTTTGAGCTTGAGTATTGGTCTTCCCTCGACCTAAAACACAATTTCGATGTTATGAATGTTTCAAAGAATGTGAATGAGAGTGTGTTGAATACTGCACTGATGAACGATAAAAGCAAAGACAAAAAAGAAGCAAGAATTGACTTGAAAAATATGGGCATTAGACCAGATCAATGGCCAAAAGAGAAAGTCAAGAAGATGAAGAAACACAACAAGGAAGAAAACAAGAAGAAAGAAATACTCCCACATGCTTCTTACTCTTTCAAACCAATTGATCGACAACGTTTCTGTCAATTCATTAAAGGAGTGAGACTACCTGATGGTTTTGGATCGAACTTTAAGAAGAAGGTTAATGATACTGAATCAAATTTGGTTGGGCTGAAGTCTCACGATCATCACGTCCTCATGCAACGATTGCTACCTATAGGGGTTCGAGCATGTCTCCCACCAAATGTTTCAAGAACAATCATTGACATGTGTACATTCTTTAAAAAAATTTATGCATGGTCATTGGATGTTAACGACATGAGAAATGCCAGAACAGAAGTGGTGAAGATCTTATGCAATCTTGAGTTGATATATCCTCCAACATTTTTCGATATAATGATTCATCTTATTCTTCATTTACCTGATGAAGCCATTCTTGGAGGGCCTGTACACATGAGATGGATGTATCCTTTTGAAAGATATATGAAAAAACTTAAAAATTATGTCAGAAACAAAGCCAAACCATAAGGTTCAATAGCAGAGGGTTATGTTGCAGACGAAGCTTTGACATTCTGCCCTATGTATCTTGAGGGTATGCAAACTTAATTCAACCGTGCTGATAGAAATGATGATCCCGACCTTCCAAAAAGGCAATTTTTTGTGTTCTCATCACAATGTCGAACAATGTCGGCTAAGAAAATCGCTGAACTTTGTAAAGAGGCCAAAAAATCATTGCATTGGTTTGTACTAAACAATTGCGATAAGGATGAGATGAAAAGCTACAAATCGTAAGTTTCTGATCTATTAACTACCTTTTCGATAGTGTTTTAACTATTCTAATTATTTTGTCCCATATTCAGTGAATTCAAATCAGAATTGCCTGAAAGTGATTTCAAAAAGGAATTTCCTTCATGGTTCAAAGAAAAGGTAAGTATGTTATATATTTATAATGTAAAACTAATTTATTACTTAAACATACAATCTTATATTTCCTTACAGATTTATTGTCTCCAAAAAGATGTGCCTTCGGACTGTACTAACGAATTAAAGGCGTTGGCATATGGTCCGTTGCGTGCATATTCTTACACTGCGTGCTTAGTAAATGGTGTCCGATTTGTCGTGAATAGTCGTGATCTCCGACGCACTACTCAAAATAGTGGTGTTGTTACATTCGGAGAAGACGGTACACCATTCTATGGTCAATTAGAGGAGATCATAGAGTTGCATTATTTATATGATAAATCAGTTGTACTCTTTCGTGTTAAATGGTTCAATGCCTCATTACGTAATGGATGTTTAAAGACGATAAATAATATGATTCTTATCGATACCAGTCATGAATGGTATGTCGGTAAAACGTGGTATGATGATCAACAATACATCTTAGCCACACAAGCTAAACAAGTATTTTATCTCCAAGATCCCACTCAAAACAATAACTGGAGAGTTGTGGAAGAGGTTCATCATCGAAAACTTTGGAATCATCCAAGTATCGGTGTTGTGAATGAGATAGATGTCGTGAACAACACTCAATCAACTGATTTTACCTTGGTTGTCAACTTAGGCACCTTACCTACGCAGACGACTTTAGGTGAAGTTGGTGAATCAAGTGTGGTTGCTAGGAGGAATGTTGCTCCTAATATAAACGATGACGATTTCATTAACGATGAAAATGACGATGATGATACATACTCTTCAGATGAAGAAATAAATAATGAAAACTATGACAGTGATGATGATGTTGTACATGTATATTGTTCTAGTGATGAATCTGATTGACGGTATGTTATTGTTATTATATATCCTGATTGCTTATAATATTTGTTAAATTTTGAAATGTTGCTTATTTGTAGCTTTATTATATATTCTGAATGTTTATAATATTTGTTAAACAGATGGCAGAAGTCGCGAGGGGACACGGAGGAGACGGTGGGGATAGACCTCCGAACGGGATTGCACGTGGTGTACCATCGGGTTGCCAATCTTGTAAGTTATATGAAATTTTTAAGTATTAGATATATTAAAGTTTTAAATTTCTAAATTTCCAATTGTATATGTAAATATAACACAAGCGAAGAATGTGAATGTGAATGTGCGTGGCAAAGGGAGAAACTTAAATTTGTACGATGAGTATGAAAACAACAAGTGTAGGCCTTTGGATTTGAGAATTGATATCTTCGGGCGGACGTATCGATTTATATGGGACAACGGGCAAATGTTTGTCAGACTGATCTCAAATCTGGTGGGATCAAAGGTACCGTTGCATTATCATACTTGGCGTCATGTTCCTACCAAGTACAAAGATGATTTATATCCCGAGCTAGAGGTAAGTATACAATATATTTTATATGTATTGAATTTTACACTTATTAAATATTTTTTTACTAATCAAATATGTTTTTCCTTTTGCAGACTTATTTTGATATTAATAGGTATCGGGGCACAAACTTGTGGGAACCCCTTCGAGCGGGTATCCAAGCAGATATGCAAAGAGCTTATCGAGAGCGCAAGTATCAGATAAAAAAAACATTTTGAAGGAGTTGGTGGATATCATAATGTGGAAAGGGCAAGAAGACATCCACCGCCTGATTGGACCGCCCAAGCTTGGAACGATATGATTGATTTGTTGTTTTTGACCGAGGAATACAGACGCACGTCGGAAAAAAAATAAAGTTACTAGGTCGAAACTTCCGCACACAAGTGCTCACTGATGTAGACCCTATGCATAATGACGTTATTTAGAGGTAATAAAATACATTAGTATTATTTAAAATTGTTATTAACATTTGTACAAATATATTTATTGTTTTTTCACTTATTATAGGAAAAAATGGGAATCAAGCCGCAGCATATTGAGGGTTGGAGACAAATGCGCTACAAAGAAGGTTCGGGTTGGTGTACAAGTCGAGAAGAAGAAGACTGGGTAAGTGATAAACGAAATGAATATGTTGTTTAAATATATTATTATTAATTATAGTTTCTTGTTTAAGGAATATTATTATTATTTGAATGTTTAAGTTTAGTTGTTTGTTTTAATTAACGTATGTTAATTATTTTCTTTATTTTAGGAGAAAATTCAAAATGAATATGAGAAAATGCAAAACGAGGTTGGGGAAGGAGGAGAAGTAAACGAGGAAGAATGTTTAGAACGTGCCCTTGGGACTAGACGTGGACATGCTCGCGGGGTGGGTAGGAGACCAACCGCCAACTTCGGTTTAATTCCAAATGAACGGCCTTCCACTTCCAAATCATCTCAATCTCAACCCCAATCTCAATCTCAATTTGATGCACAACAAATGCAAGAATATTTGCAACAATATAATGCATCATTGGCGGCATGTATTCCGAACTTCCAACCACCACCATTTCCTAACTTTCTATTCAACTATAACACACAAGCAAGTACCTCTCAACAATTTGCCGAAAGGATGGGAGAAGAAGAAGAAGAAGAAGAAGAAGAAGAAGAAGAAGAAGAAGACGATTATGACAATGATGGTTGATGTTTTTTTAGTATTATGAACAATGTTAGTTAACTACTTATTGTAATATTAAACTTGAATTTGATGTTTTGAATTTGAACAATGGTACCTAGTTAATGTATTTCAATTGATATATGCTGCAATGTTTTTTTGGATTTGTTAAAAATGCAGGAATGGTAATGTACAAAACTTGTAAAGCTAAAAAAACAACCAGTAGCTATCCCGACGACAAGTCGTTGCTATAGGTCCATAACCGACAACTGTTAAAACCCCTATAGCGACAACAAGGCGTCGTAATAGCTTTAACCTGTCGCGACGACATGTCGTCGCCACGGGTTTTTAATAAAACTTTATTTTTTTCCCTCGAAAATATCGTTGACAAAAGTTGTACCGACAACATGTTGTCGCAATAGAGTAAGCTATGCCGACGACGTCTATGCCGACGACGTAACAGACCTATGCCGACACGCCTATGCCGGCAACCCTTTTCTGACGACTTGTCGTCGCCATAACCTATACCGACGACTTGTCGTCTGGATAGGGTCTGAATTTGTCGTCTCTACAGGGTCCGATTGTTGTAGTGCACCACCACATCTGAGGTTTGGATCATGCTTGAGCAAATGTTTCACTCTGATACTTGGGCGCGTCAAATGCATCTTAAACAACAACTTCAGATGCTCACAAAGGGATCTCTGTCAATTCTCGAATATGTTGAGAAGAAGCGAGTTATCTCTGACTCACTACTTGAATGCTTAACAGACGTCTCTGATGAAGACTTTGTGTCTTATATTCTTTTTAGTTTAGGTTCTGAATATGGTGCTTTCAAAACTGCTCTTAGCATGCGTGTGGAACCGATCACCTCAAACGAACTACTTGGCCTCCTTCTTCAAGAAGAACAGAGAATTCATGACTCATGCACTGATTCTCTACTGCCATCAGCTAATTTTGCAGCCAAAAATGTCTCAGACTACTCGCATATCCTCTCCCCCTATCAGACAACAATCGGTGATCATCCACGATTAGTTTGTCAAATTTGCACCAAGCCTTATCACGAGGCTCGCAACTGCCATCAACGACTCAATCTCACCGCCTTTCCAGCAACAAATCGTAAAGCAGCTGATCGTCATCGCCAATCTCAATCCTCAGCCAAACAAGCATTTACAGCGTACACCACAAGTCCATCCGCCCTGACTGATCCGTGGGTGGTTGACTCGGGTGCTACACATCATGTGACCGCTGATTTTGAAAATCTCAACCTTCAATCAGAGTACAAGGGTGCCGACAATCTTACTGTTGGGAATGGTCAGTCTCTTCCTATTACTCATATAGGTCATTCCACTTTATCCTATAAACATGCTCCTAATTCCTTGGCTCTTAAAAATGTTCTTGTGGTTCCAAAAATTTCCAAAAATCTTCTAAGTGTGTCTCAATTATGCAAAGATAACAAGGTTTTTGTTGAGCTCCACCCCAATCATTGTTATGTTAAAAGTTCGCAGGGCAACATAATACTCAAGGGAATTGTTGAAAATGCCTTGTATCGGCTTCCTACCGGTTCGTATTGAGTTATTATATTCTTGACCTTTTCTTTGTACGTATTCTCTTCCTTTATCACAGGAGATATTGTTGTACTTATCTCATACTGATAGTTAGCAAAGTTGCTGTATATCCTCTGTATAAATATCACATATTCATAATAAGCAAATCAACCTTTTTCACTCATAACTTAGGTGTTTATATAGTTTGTTACAGTGTGCCCAAATTACCATTTTACTCGTAATTCATGTCCATTTTAAATTCTTTTTATATCAGGGAACATCTATAGAGAATCAAATTTGGGCTTGACAGATTCAACACCCATACACATCAGCTTGTCATCTCTTTGTTGCAACATCATTAGCGCTAATTCAACAAACAATATTTCATCATCATAATCATCTACCAGGTGTTGTTGGAAGGTGTAGATGTATTATTCCGAAGGAAAAATCAGTTGACGGGATAAATGGCGGAAGTATATACCTACACTCCTTGGACTAACTCATGTTGTCGATATATACCTAATTAGTTCCATATTACATTGAAAAATCATAGGAGGGTCAAGGGAGACCAAATCAGTTGGCTCATCATAGATGTCAAAAGGGTAGATCTGAGTTCATAATTGCTCAGAATACAAAACGGAAATTATGTTGCACAGAGGACATATCGTTATTCCAAAAGTTTAACTGCCAATCCCATGGGTCCTACATTCCATATTTGGATCAGGTCCTTATTCTAAAAACTTCACTATAATCTAATATGAGAAGAATTTTTTTAGTTTATTATTTAATTCCAATTCCAATGAACAACGTAACCCTATTAATACGTGTTTTATTTTGGAAAATAAATTGATGCCTATCTTCTTTTATGACATCTTTCACTTTTAACCAATGAGAAAGAGTCGGTAACTCTCATTGCCAATCGTATTAAGTCAATAGTAATTCTATAAATAACAAAATAACCCACATAAGTATGTCGATGGGGGGTTTGGTATTTGTTATTCAAGATACCTTATGTTTTTCTTTAAAAAGGCTTATTAGATTATTCGACCAAAATTGAGTTTTCAAAAGGACATCGTCCAATAAATTCCACGTTCTTCAACTCTTCTTTTCCGCACTCAAGAACATCGAATTTATGCAGTTCAAAATCGAATTATCTCTATTTTAAGTTTAGAAATATTATGAATTCAAAGCAAATTAATTATTTTAGCGCAAAATTAACACAAGATGAAATTTATCAAGTATAGTATTGTTTCAGATCATGTTTGTGCTTGGAGTTGGGGTCACAATACTTGTATCCTTTTCGCTATTAATTCGATTTAAATTAAGATGTGATGTTATTCGGTTCAATATGATATTTTACATCATTGTCATTGACATCATAATAAATGGACAACGCGGTCAACGGAGATTAATTCCAACTTTGGTACGGTGTTCAATGAGCGAGCTACACAACCCTACTTTATTGACAGCCAGGTGAATCAACATCGAAAATTAAAGCATGAATTTAGATTTCAAATTAACCTACCGTCGTCATTACTTCTTCAGATTCCTGATGATGTATATCACTAATTAAACTTTTTCTTCATTCATAAAAGTTGGAGGCATGATATACCATGTATGATAAAAATCGTTTGCCGATTTAGAAAATAAAAGAGATGAGAAAGAGAAAGAAACATTGTGTGTGTGAGAGAGAGAGAGAGAGACAGAGAGAGAGAAGAATAGAAACGAATCACATTAATTTGCATGCAAAGTACTCCCCCCCCCCTTTTTCTTTAGTATTTATATCTAAAAGTCAATTTCTTTACAACAGATTATGTTACAATGTTACTATCCTCGATATCGAGGATATCAAGTTGGTAAATTGGTTACTTTTCTTGTTCTATTTTGAGCCAACAAATTCTCTATTCCAACTAAATTTTCTTTGTCTCATGTGTCATTTTGTTAACTTGTATCAATATTCCTCTTCCACCCCAACCATGTCCTAAATGTTGAAATCATAATAAGTTTTTAGGAAGCATCCTACATCCTCCCAAGTAGTAGAAAAGAACATTGATGCGTTCCTTTCCATGCCATAATAAATCGATGTTTATTTTGTCCCTCTTGATTTACCCCTATTTTATCCCGTATATGTAACTGGACTAGAATCAATAAAATGTGTTGGTAATGGAAAAGGAACTTCCAATGACTTCGCATGAATTGGTTTAGCAATGTAACATGAAAAACATCATGAATTTGAGCATCACTCGGTAATTCACCCTGTATGCAACCTGACTATTTTTTTAAGAATCGGAAAAGGTCCGATATACCTTTTTTTCTTGCTTGTTGGGCATAGCTTTCAGGTGATATGGTTGCAACTTCACCATAACCAAGTCCCCTTTATTAAAATGAACAACACTTGGTTTGGAATCATGTAATTCTATGTTACCCAATAATGCAATATGAAACATAGATGGAATGGAATCACGTCAGGCATTGTTCCGAAGTGAGTAAGCGACATAGAGTGTTTTATCATATTTCTTTCTCCTTGTAGTCATATAGTCTGTTAGTTCTATTGAATTCCATCATTAAATCTTTACAATTAAATAAAATTGAACCAAGATGTTGCATCCTAATATTTCAGATCGTCTCAACCTAATAATTTTCCTTCTTACCATTTTACTTCCTTTCTTTTAAGCAGATACCTATCTTTCAAAATTTCACCTATAAAAAGTCTTTATTATTTTAAAAATTTTAACTAAAAATATTTATACAAATAAAAGGTTAATAATGCCCAACTTTTTTCATGAAACTAAAATTTTAAAAATTATATAAACTTAACTAAAAAGTACACCCCATTATCACTGCACTTTTTTGTTATTTCTCTCGGTCTTGCGCCATTAACCAAAACCATTCTTTCTTACAAAAAAACTTCATCTAGTACATTAGGTCCTCTCAAGATTCTGCATATGTTGTTCACATCCTCTATTCCGGGAGTCCTTATTCAACTTTTCAAATTTCAAATCTTCACACTTCAAAGCTGTAGATTAACATCCTTTCGGTGGACATATCGGGTCTTTACAAGAAGAAGAAAGATTGTTTTGGATACATGAATCTTTCTACGATACAAGTTCAATGGAAATTCCAGAATGTGCCATTTATTATTATTATAAAATGAAAAAAAAAGATTGTACCTTTGACCAAATCCTATTCCAGTCATCTATATTTTTTTCGATGGAAAACCTAAGTTCAAAGTAAATTGGTTTGTTGATTACGATCTCTATCTTTTGTATCCCTTTCGTTTTAATGTTCTCATTTTTAAAAATTGATCAAAGCAAGATACCAATGAAACTATAAGAAGGAAAAGATAATTGGTCTTGGTGTGATTAATGTTAGTGTTGGTGTTCCACATATTAAGTAAACCGTCATATCTTGAGTTAAAAGAATCACATGTTTACATTAGTTCATATAAAGAATATGTAATACATAAACAACAAATATACCCAAAATTAAAGGTAAATAATGAATAAATTAATTAATACCTTGTTTAAGCGTCTGGATTCACAATACAACATGGAGTGAATTCGCTATCTACAAGTAGGATGCTATGATAAGCAAATAAAGCAAAGTTTGTTGCAATTTTATATATTCAACCAAAAGAAATTTTTTTTGATCTTTCTCAGCTGGCTTTGATACATTTATAGTCACGTAGGAGGTTATAACAAAGCAACTAAAGTAGGATGTTATAAGAAGCAAATAAAGAAAAGCATATTGCTATTTTTTGCCTTAACTTAAATAGGAAAGTACGATATTTTCCAATGGATTTGATACACCTATATTCATGTAGGATACTATAATAAGGAAAAACACAAAGTACACTACTATTTTTTAGTTTAACAAAAATAAGAAAAAATAATAACTTCTAGTGGCTTTGACGCATCTATATTAATTATGAAGGATGCTATAACAAGCAAATAAAGAAGAATGATATGATAAGCAGATAAGGCAAAGCATGTTGGTAGTTTTTGAGTTTAAACAAAAGTAGGCAAATATGATATTTAAAGCACGTTGGTATTTTTTATGTTTAAACAAAAGTAGGAAAATATGTTATTTTCTGGTAGCTTAGATGCATCTAAAATTATGCAGGATAGTATATGTCACTACTACAAAACAACTCTTTTAATGACACGTATTGTGTGTCATAATGGGGTATGGATGACACACAAATGCTTGTCGTTAAAGCCCCAATTATAAAGGAGTACGACAAACATTTACGTGTCGTAAGCTTATGACATGTATTTACAACATGCTACACATTGCGTGTCATTAAGGACTTTGTCATAAAGGAAGACGACACACATTTTTATGTATCATGATATTCAATTTTTACAAAAAATATAGAGGAAGGCGAGGTGGCGACTTAGAATTTGCAAAGAGAATTATGTCCGGCGTGTGGAGATCTAGAGGAGAGAGTGACGAGGTAGGGGAAGGGAAGGTACTTAAAAATTTAGGGGGATATCTACCCCCCCCCCCCCCCCCCCCCCCCCGTTAATTATTAAGGAGGGAGGACACACGTCAGGTAGTGAAAAAGAAAATAAAGTAGGGCGCTATAAAAGCATAGAACCAAACCACGTTTAGACGCTCTAATTTGTCTTAGTTTCCCTATTTTAACTGGTAAACAGTTGTTTTGTTTTAAGTTTTCCGGTTCATGTTTTTTATATCATCTCTCACGTGGTTAAACAAAAAAAAGGAAAAAAAATATATCATATTTTATAAGGTCATGTTTAAGTTTACATTTTAGTCCTGTTATTTAAATAATTCTTAATTAAAGTGGTCATCAAAAGGCAACATAATATGATAATGTCATGTTTAACTTACAATCTATTCCTAATATTTCAATAGTACTTATTTAATATTCTATTAATTCGCAGGGGAGATTAGTCGATTCACGGAATGGCCATGAAACGCTTGTTAGAAAAGTTCATTTTCCAAAATAAATTAAAAGGTATTAACTTTTCTATAAGAAAAAATAAGTTTGGATATGTTGAATATTTATAGTTTTCTCACGGTATATACAGCATTCTCAATTGTTTTGTTTAAAAAATTATTTCTATGATAATATATTCTTAAAATAGAATCTCACAATTTAATTATCTAAAAATATTTAATATTATTATTCACAAATCAAGTAAGAAAATTATATATAAGAAGTATAAAAAACGGAGTGAAAAAACAGATTTGTTAAAAAAAATATGTAAAATGCCGCTGCCAGGACTTGAACCTGGACCCCTGGGTTAGAGGAGTGAGTTATGCCCCCAAAGTGGCAGATGCTAGGTTTTAGATGTGCTACAGCTGCTTTTGATAACTCAAATGCCCCATATTTTATTTATTACTACTTTCCCATAATTCCATTAGCCTCAAAAA